TCCCCCTCCCCCCCCAGTTTTGGGCTCCCCCTGGATGTATATCTGGAATTTTCTCTCCCGCCTCCGGCCGCGAGGGGGAGCTGTGTATATTTGGCTTTCCTTCTTCTTTCTTCCTTCTTCTTTCTTCCTTCTTCTTCTTTCTCAACCTCCTTCCTCCTCCTCCTCTTCTCCTCCCTCCACCTCCTCTTCTTCTTCCTTCTTCTCCCTCTGCCTCCTCTCTTCTTCTTCTTCTTCTTTTTCTTCTTCTTCTTTCTCTCCTTCTTCTTCTTTCTCGACCTCCTTCCTCCTCCTCTTCCTTCTCCCTCCCTGTTCCTCCTCTTCTCCCTCCACCTTTCTTCTTCTTTCTTCTTTCTTCTTTCTTCTTCTCCCACTTCCTCCTCCTCCTCTTCTTCTTCCTTCTTCTCCCTCCACCTCCTTTCTTCTTCTTCTTCTTCTACGCCTCCTCCTTCTCCTCCTCCTCCTCCTCCTCCTCCTTCCTTCTTCTCCCTCCACCTCCTCTCTTCTTTTTCTTCTTCTTCTTCTCCTCCTCCTCCTTCTTCTTTCTTCCTTCTTCCTTCTTCTTTCTTCTTCCTCTTCCTCCTCCTCCTCCTCCTCCTCTTCTTCTTCTTCTCCTTCTTCCTTTTTCATCTTCTCCTTCTCCTTCTTCTTCTTCCTCTTCTTCTTCTTCCTCTCCTTCTCCTCCTTCTCCTCCTTCTCCTTCTCCTCCTTTTTGTAATATGGCAAACTTAAGGAATGAACTAACGAAGCACTTTAATGGCCCAGCTCATCAGGTTGGGCAGGGGGGCACCCCAGCCCACCCACCCACCCCCCCAGAGGCCTGGGCCGCCTTTCCACCCCAGCCCTCCTCCCCCTCCTCTTCCTCCTCTTCCTCCTCCTGCGTGGGGAGGGGAGGCCTCCCCTCCCTCTCCCCCCTCCCCACTCCTCCCATTTTGGCTAGGCTAGGGGTGCAACCCCCCCCCCCGGGGCTCACCGGTGGCCGCTGGTGCCGACGCAGCAGCCGGGCAGGGAAGGGCCTTCCTGCTTGCAACTTTTGGAGTTTTTTCTTCTTGTGCAGTTTGCTTGCAATTTGTATATAATCCCCTCCCCCACCCACCCCCTCCCCACCCCCCCAACCCCACCCCCCCTCCAAGGGAATCAGTGGTGGCCTTGGCAACTCGTCTCTTGATAAAAGAACCAAAATGCTTCCTCCGGCTCCTGGGTCTCTCTGTGTAGCTGCGAGAAGCGGGACAGTTGTGTGTGCGTGTGTGTGTGTGCGTGCGTGCTCCGTTGGGCACAGGGCCGGGGGGGGGGTCTCGAGAGGGGGAGGGCTGCTGCTGCGCTGAGCGACCGTCAGAGGGAGGGCCGGGGGTCTTCAGGAGGGGAGGGCCACTGCTGCACTGACCGACCATCAGAGGAAGGGTCGGTGGTCTCGGGAGGGGAGGGCCGCTGCTGCACTGACCGACCGTCAGAGGGAGGGTAGGGGTCTCGGGAGGGGAGGGCCGCTGCTGCGCTGACCGACCGTCAGAGTGAGGGTCTCGGTTCCCGCCCCGCCTGGACACCACAGCCGACGGCCGGATTGTCGGAGGAACACATGGGGGGCGGGAATGGGGAAGGAATTGGCCGGTGGTGGATGACGACGAGAGATGGGGGCTCCTTGGCTCCATCCAAACGGCCCCAAGACTTCCTGGCCTGGAAGGGACGCCTCTCCCGCCCCGGGACCGAAAGGAGGGAGGGGGAGGACGCCCCGAAAGCGGATGGAGACACTTGTGAAGTCAACGGCTTTTATTCCAAAATGGATGCCGAGAAGAAGGAGAGACCCCCACCCTTGCCCACTGCCTTCCTCCCCCTCCCAAGGTGCCCCTCCCCCTCCTGCTGCCCCCCACCCACCCCAGGTCCAGCCCCCGTGGACCCCAGGCTTGAGGAGGGGAGGGATTTGGGGAGGGGGTCTTCCCCAGGGCCCCGGCCTGCTCCATGCAGCGGTTGCAGAGCTGGAGGCGTCCGCTGACCTCCTTCGGAGTTGCTCCCCGACCCGCCATGCACACACAATCGGGGTCCCCTAAAAAAAGGGCCGGTTGATTTTGGGGTCCTCCTCCTCTTCCTCCTCGGCTGAGGTGGATGGCTAGCGCCCTCTGGTGGCCGCCAAGTGGAGGGCTGCGATTCGGAAATGGGGGGGTTGGTTGATTGGTTGGTTGGTGGTTTCGGGGTGGAGACGCTTCACACCGTCCCGCCAAGGCCTTTCGGGGCGAGGCGGAGCGGGGAGGGGCGTGGGGGAGGCTGTGGGCTTCCTTGGGGGGGAGGGCTTGCAGGCAGGGGGCCCCCCCAAAGGCCAGCCACAACGGGGGAGCTTCCCTGGAGGGCAGTCCATGTGGACCCCCCCTCAACACCCGCCACGTTTCCCTGGGATATCGCTCACCCCCACCCCCTTAGCGGACCCCTGGCTTCGGGTATTTTGGGGGGGCAGTGAAGGTTTTGCATGGAGGGGGGGGTCTGGGGAGAGGGGCCCCCGAGCTCCAGAGGGACCCCTACGCGCTCCACCACCCCCGTCCTCCCTTACCCCCGTCCAGCCACACGGCTCCGAAGGCCAGGAATAGCGACGACGACAATGAAGGAATCGACCTGGGAAAGCATCGCCGGATCGGCGGGACCAAGAACCGGCGTTCCTTGGGGAGCCCCCTCCCCTCCCCCCGGGAGCCCCCCCCCCCCGGAGCTTGCTCGGCCCTTACAAAGAGGCGGTGGCGTACCTCACCCTCACCGCCCCCAGCGCGTCCTTCCCCTCGTCCAGGCTGGAGGAGGACAGACCGGCCTGCCTCTGAGGGGCCCGTCTTCCGGCAGAGCCGGGCAGGCTGACCAGCAGCCAGGTGACGTGGCGGGAAGGACCCACCTGGAACCTCTTGCAGACGCGGTAGAGACGGGGGCCGGGGGCCGGGCGGGGGGTTTCATCTAACTGCATCCCCCATTCCTTGGAGGAGGCCTCCCGCCACTGCTGAGGGACCCTGGCCAAGGGGGACCCCGGGACCCCTCGCCGAGCCGGGCGGTACCAGCCAAGGCAGAGCCAACCCAGCCGGCAGAGCAGAACCAGGGTGGGCAGGACCAGGAACGCCAAGCAGGCGAGGTACAGCCCCAGGCGGAGAAGGCAGCAGGAACCGGCCAGCCAGCCCACGTAGGACCCCCTACGAGCAGCTACTCCAACGACCCGGACAGGCCGAGCAGGGCAGAGACATTGGGCGGTGGGCCGGGGGGTGGCTGGCGGGCCCGAAATCCTGGCCTGGCTGGAGCTGAACGGGACCAGGGTTGCAGAACTCGGAGGAGGCCCAGCTGTGGCCGTCGCTGGCGGACGGGTCCTCGGGGCAAGAGGGCTGGTCACCATCGAGGCCGTGGGGCTGGGAGCAAGCGGGGTGGACGGGGTTGTCATGGCGGTAGGGACGTGGCGGGGTGGGGTGGACGGGACGGGGGAGGTCGAGGGGCCTGCCGTCACCGTGGGGACATTCGACCTTCCACCGCTGCTGGAAAGGCCGAAAGTGACCACCGGCGCGGTTGTGGTGAAAACACGAAGAGCGGTTGTTGTACCAGGGCTGGTGGTGGTTGTGCGGAAGGTTGTTGAAACAGGGCTGGCGGTTGTGGGGAAGGTTGTTGCAACAAGGCTGGCGGTTGTGCGGAAGGTTGTCGCAACAGGGCTGGCGGTTGTGTGGAAGGTTGTTGCAACAGGGCTGGTGGTTGTGGGGGCGTGTGTCGTGGAAGGACTAAGCGCTGAAGTGCTCATTGTGGTTGTGCGAGCAGCAACAGTTGGGCTGAGGGTTGTGCTCGGCCTGCGCGAGGAGGCCCGTGATGTCACGCCGGCAGTGGTTGGTGTCGAAGGGGAAAGAGTCGGAGCGCGAGTCCAGCTCTCCCCCTCCGCCTCGCCCTCCTCTTCCCCCTCCGGGTCTTCGTCTCCGAGTCTCCTGCAGGTGGCTTTGAAGTGCATGACGGGCCGGCCCTTCTCCCCGGGGGGCGCCTGGCAGACGACTCGCAGGGGCTCGTTCTCCGTCACCTCCTTATCCGAGCCGTCCTCCTGCACGGTCGTGCGGGTGTACACCGTGTGCTCGTTCTCCACGATCCAGTCCCGCAGGTACATCAGCTGGCAGTCGCACCGCCAGGGGTTTCCCACCAGGTAGACGAAGACGTACACGGCCTCCTCGGAGAAGAAGCCCTCCGGCAGGCGCTCCAACCGGTTCCTCTCCAGGCGTAGAATCTCCAGGTTGGACAGTTGGGAGAGCAGCTCCGGGGGCAGCGACGCCAGGCGGTTGTCCGATAGGTCGAGGTCCTTCAACTCCTCCAGCCCTTCGAAGGCCCCGACAGGCAAGCTCTCAAGCTGGTTTTCTTGCAACTGCAGTTCGTCCAGTTTTTCCAGGCCACGGAAGCCTCCCTCGGGCAACTGGGAGAGCCGGTTGTGCCCCAACGCCAGGACCTTCAGGCCGGGCAGCCCTGGGAAAGCGGGCAAGCTCTCCAGGCCGTTATGGGACAGGAGCAGGTTCTTCAGTTGGGGCAGCGGGGCGCCGATCTCCAGGGCTTTCAGGCTGTTGTTGGACAGGTCCA